GTTTTCACGGGACTTGTGCCAAACGAATATGTAGGCTATCATCCAATGAAGTGCTACAATCGAAACGGCTGGAAACGTCAAGGTGATCAGCTTCGGCTTACTACAGAGCGCACTGGAAATAATCTAATGAGTCAGACCTTAGTGAGGCGTTCAACTGGGCTTATGACCCGAACGAAGATCCCGAGAGCTCTGCTGATTGACCCCATCAGTGAGCATCTGGTCTCAAGATCTCCCTGGATTTCGTGAGGGGCTCTACGCTTATCATACACAATTGCTCCGGCTTGCTCGCAGATTGACACGACTCTTTGCACTCGCTCTGCATTTGCCCGAAGACTACTTTGACGACTACATACGAAAGCCGGAAGCCGGGATGCGCATTCTCCGCTACCCAGAGCAGAAGCATTCGGTGGACGAGCAGAATGGTATTGGTGCACACACGGATGTCGAGTGTTTCACTATCGTCACTCAGGATTCTGCTGGTGGGCTTGAGGTGCTGAGCAAAGAAGGCATGTGGGTGAAGGCAAAACCAATTCCCGGTTCGTTTGTTGTGAACATTGCAGACTGCTTCATGCGACAGACAAACGACTTCTTCGTCTCCACCATTCATAGGGTCGTTAATCTGAGCGGGAAGGAAAGATACACTATGCCATTGTTTTTCGGATTCGATCGAGCCAAGCCTTTAGAGCCTGTGCCGACTTGTGTAAGTGCAAATAATCCGATGAGGTACCCCATCATGACTGGAGGTGAATACTATGCTTGGAGGTCAAATAAGCAGAAGGACACAAGCAACAGGAAAATCCGGGCAGTTGAGGTAGCATTGAATTAGTACACAGAGAAAAAAGAATGGGCAATTGGACATTCTACATTCTTAAACATCGAGGCAAAGCCTTGCACAGACCATGTTTGCTGCTTACTCAGTGGGGAAGTACTGCCCTATAAAAGCCCTGAGCAAATTCCCCGACAGAAAACCATCATCTATACCGCTGCTGTCTGCCTCGTCTGCAAATGCCGACCATGACATGATGTTCTGAATCCCATTTCCGAATGCAACGTTCCCACTATCGACAACAACATTGTCCGTTATTGAGCTTCTTAGCCGACTGTCTAGGTCGGCTACTTGGTCAAACAATCGTTGTTGCGCAGTCGTTGCTGTTTTGGTGTAGTGCTTATTAAACTGTGCTAGAAAGTCTATCACTGACATCAACACTGCTCTCAGCTCAAAATAGTCTTCATGTGAGAAGTCATGCTTTCGAGCCACTCCAACAAGCATGTGGCCCACGCCCGCAAGTTGCTGAAGCAGCGGCGAACCAACAGCTCGAATATATTCGCGTGGAATCTCGTTCATCTTTTCCATCATATATCTGGCAGTCTGGAAGACCGAGGCCAGACTAGCATCGTCGCTAATAGACAGGATCATACGGGCCAGATGAATCGTGCAGAGCATGTTGGAAGCCTGAAAACCGCACCGATTTCTCCCACTATCAGATGACCGTGAAGAAACAGCCTCAAACTGCGGTATTAGTTCTTCTTGAATTCTTGAAAGGCGCCTCATCACCACTTCAGTCGTCACAGCGCTCGTTTTCACAGTATCTTTGCTATCTTGCAGGATGGAAGGTCGTGGACGTCTTTTAACTCTGAACTCAGAGACAGCATGCTCAAGCACTCGGTATAAGTCCGTCGTGGCATCCAACCCGAGAACCAGTCTTCATACTGCCCATCGCGACCGGGTATGAAAGGGGGGTGATGAATTCCAGAAGGGTATCCAACGTTGCTCTGCCGTTCGGTACAACGTATCAAGCTTCCCAACACACAAGCAGTATGTATTTCGAGCCTATACATAGCCCACCAGATGCGTCGTCTGCCCTCTAAATCACACTCATCCATATCTCCCAGCCATTTCGACTCATCATGCAGGCTGTACTGCGCACAGACGCCGTGGTACAAGCCCAGGTACTTATAGGCCATAGACATATTCCCAATCTAAACACCAAGCAAAGCCAGAAGTCCGTAAGAACGGATGAGATAAGTGGAAGGTGATTGAAAGTCGACCGGAACGAGCCGAAGCGCTTGTTGTAGATACCGTTGCGCCAGATCCGCACTCTCGGACGAAGGCGGATCGTCTGTGAACAGAGCGCCGTTGCCCACATGGTGGGCGCTCAAAGCGCACATACATACCAGACTCATGAATTCTGAAGCACCACTGGGAAATGAACCGTCTCTCCAACGCACCCAGATCTCTCTCTCACAGAAGAAAGGAAATCTACAATGAAAACCATGGTCAGCAAGGATGGAATCTAAGTCGCATCAATTGACTTGGGAGAACAGGCATCTTACGTCGGGTGGATTGTATCGAGGTAAACATCAAGTAGTGCAGTGATGACTTTCCGGCTTCTCAGAGCAGTAGGTGCCTGATTGTCATTAGATTTGGACAAGGCGATTGTTTCAAATGGTCTGTCGAGGGAGGCCGTCCAGACATCATCGGATTTTGGACTGCCATCTCCACCACCAACCTCGCCGGTGATAGTGCCCCGAGGCTTTGTTCCTCGTTTCTTGGGCCGCCTCATTCTTGTGCATTCTTGTGCATACTCTATGCAAGTCATACATGAAGATTTCTGACCCCCTCCGGGATCGGATGGTGCTTCTCTACATTTCACACCTCGACGATGGCAGAAATCGCATGCCTGAGTGATGCGGCGTCGTTTCGTGCCAGCTATCGATAACGGAGTTACGGGTGCCTGCGGATGAGGTTCCATGCTTGATTCGAACAGTTACTTGAAAGACCAATAGCTCAGCGGGCTTTCTGACTTTTAGGCTCAACTGCTGAATGCATTGTGGAGCCGCATCAATTTCAATGACTAACCACACTTATCAGGGCGTAGGCTTGGATGCCCAGTTAAGCCGGTCTAATCACCGAAGCTAAGTAAACTAGGACATCTTCACACGAAAGCCTGACGACCTTGTAGTCAAACCAATGCTACTTTGTTTTCGACCCGTTGATAGCTTATTTGACGTTGTTGGCCTCTTGCCTCAAATATTTGACAATGTTACTTCACATAATAGCGCGAATGGCCTAGCTTATACAACAATTTTTGATTGGCTCATGAATCAGCCTGTGAATCCCCACTACTGTAGTATTATCGCATTCAAGCTTTTGCACACGTGCTTCTCGAGACTACATGTGAATGAGTCAAGGCAAACCGTTTAGACTGACAAGAAGATGACATGGTTCTTGATGATGGGTTTTGTGGTCTCACCAACAACTGCCCCCTCAAACGTTAATACTATATATAGGAATTGCCAACAACCTCAAGGTAAATGACCGGAGTAAAGTTGTCGAAGGTTGATACAAGCTCTGATTGTTCATGACCATCGACCGCGAGCCTTGAACAGTGTCTTTCAGAGATGACGAGGTGACCAGGGCAGTATACTGTTCCAAAGGTTCACCGATTATTCGTGTCGTGTATGTGAGCGCCATGCACGTCCTCTCCACTGCAGTAGCATTGTAGGTACGACTGAAACTCCAACCATCATTGCTATGGGGATCCCCACGCTTCTGGCCAATCCAACGTGTTCGAGCATCTGGGGAAACCTGGGTCGATACAATTTTTAGCACCAGATCCTGATGACACTGCGAGCCGGAATCCTTTTGAGATGAATAACACTTACCAGAAGGGTCCGATAAATCCCCACATTTGACGCACAAATGTGATGAACACTCCGATCGCGGCAGCATCAGAGCGATAACAATCAACAGCGTAGGTTATCATGACTGTAGTGACGACTTGGTTACCCGCAGATGCAATTGCCGCTCCAATATCCGGCGTGACGTTCCAATGGTCCGTGGCTCGCGACGTCTGTACAAGGAATACTACCACGCCAACAATTGTAAGCGTGTGACCGATATAGCTCAACCATAAGCGAAATTCGGGTTCCGGTCTCTTCCCACGACGATTTCTCTGCCACATCCACTTGTCGGAAAGCACTCCGCCCACTTGTTCGCCGAGAATCGTTCCCACTATCAACGATATGTTCTGGAGTCCAACCTGCTGCGTATTGAAACCAAACATTTCAGGGAACAGCTGTGGAATTTCGATGGACACCATAACACTTCCCCAAAGGAATATCATAGCGTAGGCTACCGCTGGAATGGCGATGCAAGGCCTCAAAATAAGAAATAGAGGTTGCACAAAGTCAATCGATCTCAAGGGGTTTGGGTCGATGCGGCGGAATCTGAGGTATTGCTCGGTGATAGATTCTTTCTTACTCTCCACAGGCCGGGTTCCTGGCACGTAACGCGTTTCCGGTCCGAGGACAAGATAGAGTACAAACTGGACGCCGTTTGTCTAAGAAAGTTTGTTTAGCATACTGAAGAAGCACCCCAAGGCTGATCAACTCACAATGGCAAGAATCCAGTATATCCATCGATAGCCAACCCTCAAGGCCACGAAGCCAAATATAAACGGCGCGACAGGGACACCGAGTGTTACCATTGTGGTCCACACTCCCATATATGTTCCTCTTTCTGACTTGAAGAAGGTCTCCGTAACTACTGCACTTCCGATTGAAGCTGCTGGTGAAATGAAGAAGGCCGTAAGGGCTCGGCAGAGGGCCATTGTGCCATAGGAATGACTGACAGCACAGCCAACATTGCACACCAAGCTACATATCAGGGAAAGCAGAAATACAGGCCGCCTCCCATATATATGCGAGATGGGACGCCAGAACAATGGCGCGCCACCAAGCACAGCAATGACTAACGAAGTCAAGTAGCTTGCTTTTTGGACGCTGATGTGGAGGTCTTCAGCAATATCGACAAAGGCTGACTGGATTGCCGCCGCGGTGAAAGTGGCCATCCTATATAATTTGAAGTTAGTGATTGCCTCATGAGAGTAGTTAAAGAATCAAAATAGGATGCCATAGGCATATCTTAGCACTCAATATGCAGAAGCAATCCGAGTCTTTGTTATAATTCTAGAATATGGATATAATAAGTGGATTGCTTACATGGCATGGAAAGCAACGAGGACCAGGTTGAGCACCTTCTATTAGAACAGCAGGTGAGTAACTACTCGTATGTAGGCTTTTGTCATTGTACCTTTCGCTTTGGCCAGTTCAGAGGGTCGGCCAGGTCCATGGATGGAATGGGATCCAAGTCCACGGATCCATGATGAGAAAGCAGGAACTCGCGATGGTCATTTGAGATACCATCGGGGTCAGACTAGTAAAGATCAGATCATCTATTGTTGCCAGTCATGCTCTTTCTATCATCACTTACACCGTATTCGACATGATGATTTTCTTCTTTCGACATGATGGCTTGGTTTCCGTGAAAAGATGTTTGTAATGAACGTATAAGTATATGCCAAGAAGCGGGCTGTATGCTCTTTTCTAGATGACAAGAGATCCAATCTTGCTTGGCACCATTCTCCGTATTTAGAAGACACGCTTACCCCAGCAATTATCCCTTGATCACCGGGATGGGATCCGCACCCAAGTCGGCCTTCCTGCTCGCCCCCTGTAATACGGGCACCAATCGGATACAGGTGGACCGAGAACAAGTCCCTCTATACTTCTCGGAAATAACAAATTCCTACGTCAGATCGCAATTGTGTTATGTTCCAAGGAGACAAGAGCATGTCATCCATCGTTTATGTGTGTGAGGTGAATTTGTCTATATCCGGTAATAGACTGTCTTGCAACTCATACAATAAGCAGCATGAGCATGACTGTATTTTAGTCGTCATTGCACTGGAGATGTTGGTTTGCGGTTCAATGGATTCGCTTGAAGTCTGGAGTCTTCGAGATGCTCCTCGACTTGAGCCATGATTTTGTCAGATACTCCGTCCCTCGTATACACATCCGTGCGCTCACACTCCCTTTATCCTACATGGGTTTCTCATCTAGAGAATTTGGGTTTGAGGGACCCCATATAATTCAGCCAAGTAAAAGTTGAAAATGCTCTATGAGATGTGCAACTATTGCATCCGGTCCTTCGTTGACTTGTAGACCATGAGGAATTGCATAAGTCTTGATATCTGGTTTCAAAGACCTTGCTATATCATGCATCTCTAGGCTCTCTTCATTGGTCCACATGGACGCACAGCACTGCAATCACCAGCCAATATGTCAGTAATTGAACGCAGTACCTCATGAATTCACGTACGATAATGTCCGGTTGTGTTTCCTCAACCAATCTTTCGATGTCGTATCTAGCTGTAGTCTCATTAGAGAGGAATTACTAGTTTGAAGAAGATAGATTACTTACATGAGCAGTTCCCGACATGCTCGATGGCGTACCGGTCCTCGAGCTCTTGAATCACACGGCTAATCAGGAGTTTCGCGCGTTGCGGCGCATTATTCACGGTTAGAAGTCTGTAAGTGGGCACACTCATGATATCGAATTGCAGAGGATTTGTTCGTCCAATCGACTTAACTGATATGCATCTGGTATATGGCCAGGGTGTTTCAGTGAAGAAAAAAGATGAAAAAAAAGCATGCACCCCACACAGCTGCAACGGCCGAACTCGTCGGTGGCATCCAGCAAAACTCAAACCCTTCACCCAGATTTGATTGCCGATCCATTTCTGCCCAGGTGCTTGCCGATCTTTCGGGGAGAGCGGACTTCGAAACAAACTACGCCAACGCTATCCCGGAATTGCGTCCAAGTAACAGAAGCATCGGAGAGTAAGATCTTACAATTACGTCAAAAACATACACCGGATAACGACTTCTTGATTGGCTGAATGCTTGAAAGCCCGGCAGAACACATGGTGATTGGATAGTCTGCTAGCTCCGGGTCATTTGCGGGGGTCCCGATCACCTTCCGGCGGGGGCTTAAAATGTATGTGAGGCGATCATAGCTGAATGATAGCTTGACTTCCTTCTGACGGTATATCATGCTCATTACTTACTATTCGAGAACATATGTGCCTGTCACCTAAACTTGAGACGAGAAGATACGAACCTCAAGTTCTCTACAACACAGTCCTATCGGAGGTGATACTGAATACTCGCGAAAGGCGGTTCAAGGGACAATGACAGTTGGCAATGGGTACGCTGTGGATGGGAAGCAAGCTTCACCTGGCGTGGCAGGTGTCCGCATTGCTATCGTAGGCGCAGGTAATGCCCGAGATTTATCTGGCACTCGATATGATGAGCTGATAGGGTTCAGGCATGGGCGGCTTAGCTTGTGCATTAGCATTGGCAAAAAAAGGCTTCCAAGACATACAAGTATATGAAATGGCGTCCAATCTTGGGTTTGTCGGGGCCGGTATACAGCTTGCGCCAAATCTGGTCCGCATTCTGACGCGGCTGGGATGCTGGCATAGTATAGAAGCGGAAGCTACGGATGTGTTGGAAGCAAGTATACGAGGTTTGTATATACGAAGAAACCTAGAGGGTGACAGCAGCTGACCCAAATGCACCTAGATGGCGCCACAAATCGAGAGCTAACTCATGTACACATGCCTGACATTCGTGCGAAATATGGCTACCCACATTGCACTGGACACCGCGCCTCACTGGCTGGTGGCTTATACGACGCTTGTAAGAAGGAAACTGCCATTAAATTCAACTTCGGATGTGCTTTTGAAAAAATAGAAGAGTACAAACCAAAGGTCAAATTTACGGTCAAGCCCCGGGATGAAGATTCCCGCCAAGAATTATGTGACGTTCTTTTGGCCGCCGATGGCGTTAAATCCGTTATTCGTACACAAATTCTCTCTGAGATGGGATTGCCGGCGGTCGTGGAAGACACTGGTCAGGCCGCATATCGTATCATGCTTCCCCGCGAGAAGATGGAGTCAGATCCCGAAATGCGCGAACTCATCGACAGCAATCAGGTCACACGATGGATTGGTGAAAAACGGCATTGGATTGCCTACCCTGTTTCCGGTAAAACGATCTATAACATGTCCTCAACCCAGCCCGATACACACTTTGCCGCAGCACCATCCGCCACATACACCACTAAAGGGTCTAAGCAGGGTATGTTGGATGTGTTTTCTGATTATTGCCCACTGGTTCAGCGGTTGATGGACCTTGTCCCTGACGGCGAGGTCTGCGAGTGGAGATTACGTGTGCACAAGCCTCTGCCGACTTGGGTGTGCAATACAGTAGCCATGGTCGGTGACGCGTGTCATCCTACCTTACCACATCTGAACCAAGGAGCAGCCATGGCAATTGAGGATGCAGCTGTTCTCGCAGAGGTTTTGGCCAGAGCACCTGACGCATCGCCAAGTGCTATTCAGAAGTGTCTTCAAGTTTATGAGGCACTGCGCAAAGAACGTACTTCGACACTTGTAGACCTGGCGGCAGAGTCCGGGCGAACCTTGCATTTAGGAGAGGGGAAAGCGAAGGAGGAAAGAGATAGGGAGTTTGCGGAGGCCAAGGCGAGCGGAAAGAAAGTGCCGGATAAGTGGGCTTCTCCCGATGTTCAAGAAATGATATACTCACACGATTGTATGCGTCTGGCAGAGGAAAGGTTTGACGAACTGTACAAGAATATAGCTTGAGATGTAAAAAGAGCAATAGATAATCTTTTGTGAAAACCATGGGTTTCCGTCACATCAAACATACAATTCACCACAAATTTTTTGATTCCGAGACTTGCCAGTTTCTCGATCTTCATCATTTGTGGGCATGTGCGTGTTATATTACTATCCGTGACTTCACTGATTTGTATCCCGTGGCGTCTTCACACCAAGAAAAAAAAGAAAGAAAAGAAAAGGATTCATACTGGATTGAAAACGAAATCGGGTTGCTGGCCAATGCCCTGCCCTGTGTGAAGACCTCCAGCGTTCAAAAAATCATTGTCACCGAGCTGGCAGAAGAGATTGTCAAGTGAGCTCATGGTGTAGCCAGGAAAGCCATCCCAGAGGAGCGTGTCACTCGGCAAGGGGCAGCTTTGTTGTAAATCCTGGAAGAGCTCAGACCCAGCGGATCCTGCAATACTTGACTGGGTTTTGGTATTTGGTGCTACAAGCAGAGGATGCGTTAGTGCGACATGTTATTCAATTTGATAATCACAAACACAGGGAATACACGTACCAAACGTTCTGCATAGATGGATATATTGATTCAAACATCGATATGCTTTTGAGCTCATGATGCTAGCACCCCCAATAGTCTTTAATATATCCAGGGCTTTAAGCAGCAAGGATTCAACCTCCGAGGTAGTAGTGCCTAGGAGAAGAGGCAAGGCCGCGGAGTATATAGTGATGAGCCAGACAGAGAACAAGTGTAGACTTTGTGTAAGGGCTATTGCAGTCAAACTTTAGCACCATCTCCCAAGAGTGGGCTGCTACATATACATACCAGTGAAATTGCACACCCACCATACCGCATTCCGCTTGAAAAATCCCGGATCACGCCGGAGGGACCACTCTATGAGTATCTGAAATTCCTGAATGGCTTGTAGGTCTTGTTTGATCACGGATACAAATGTGCTCTGTAGAATACTGGAATCATTCATTTCGACAGATTTGCGGTTTGTGGTTCGGTCTAAGGCCGTCATGAGTACAGGCCAGCTGATAATCATAACGACTTTATGATAAAAGATTGACAGCATTAGTACATATCGTTCAGTGTGAAACTTTGAGGATGACCATGAGCCCAAGTCTGAACTCGATTTCAGTATGTCAAAGGGAGTGAGTTTATGACGCCACTCCTCGAGGCGTAATAAGAGTCCGATGGTCTTCGCAGTCAGATCCCCTGGTGCCAAGTCTGACGGCGATCCTATATTGGCGGCATATATAGAGTCAATCGCAACACCGACAATCTCGTGCAAGCATCTATGCCAAATTTAGGTCATATGAATACATTGAAGGCAGAAAAGTGTACATACGTCAGGTGTCGGAAGTAAACCAGGCTTTCCATGCAAGATTGCGTTGCAAGCGGTTTGCTTGGCGCTAGGGTTACGAGGTCTTCTAATATCTCAGCCCGGATGTGTTGTGTTGGAACAAGCAATGGTCGGCCCAGGCCATGACTCAGAAGTCTTTTGAAAGTCAGAATTGTATGGATAGTTGAAGAATGAACCCCGTATACCTACCTATCTTGATTCACTACAGCAAACCACACTTTCGCCCGGAGCTCCTTTTCTAGAGTACACAGGCCCTCGTAAGATGATGGTGAATGCAGCCCAAGCTGATATGCCGTCTTAACGGCTAACGAATGGGATGTTAAACTTGCCATTGCTCGATGGCTATTCTGTTGGAAGCTTCCCAGGAGGAGCAATGCTTGCACTTCAGATCGTTAGCGTTTGCTCGAAGATACGAGCCGCAACACTTACCCGTCTCCAAATTTGAAATACAC